TTTTGTGTGAAATAAAGAAATAGCAGAGTTATTAATAAAGAATAACAAATATATATATGTATATGTATATGTATATATATATATATATATATATATATATATATATATATATATATATATATATATATATATATATATATATATATATGTATATACAGTATGGTGCAAAACTGAACCAGAGTTTTTATAAAAATACAAAATTATGGTTTATTTTGTTTTCAATATATTAGTGCTGTCGGGATTATTACAGTAGTAAAGTGCTAATTTTTACAACTTTTTACGCCTCCTCCTTTTACCCCAATGCACAAGTATTTTTATCTAGTGACAAACATCTTTTGACTCAGTTTTGCACCATCTCATTTATGAAGGCAATATCTTTATTATTTTTCTCAAATTAATTTAATAATTTTGTGTGCAAATTACTTGACTATATTTATATCTAAAATAATTTTCTGTTTTCATAAATTTTATTGTTTAAATTTATTGTTTATTGATAGTTTTTTTAATATAATGGGAATTTCAAAGACAGAGAGTGATTTAATAAAAAAGATGATTGAAGAAGGAAATACAACTCGTAAAATTGCTTTTAAATTAAAAGTTAGTCAAAGTACTGTGTAACGAATTAGAAAAAAATGTGGACATATTCTAAAAAAAAATGTTGGCGGTCGACTTTAATGATCATCACACAAAATGGATTTCCTCTAGTGTCAGTGACTCTGCAGGCATTAAAACCCACAACTTTTGCCTTTCTCAATCTCTAACTGGTTCTCTAAACTTTCTAATTCAATAATATTTGTGATTTTTGAAGTATTTTTTCTTCTGTTGAGTCTTATCTCTTGCAAAGTTCACCAGACCTACTTGCTCTTTGTGAGACTAATTTGAGTTTAACTGTCTCATCTTATGATCTTAGTGTTGATGGTTATCTTCCTTTAATTTGTATAGACTTAAATAGTCACATGTTTGGCCTTGGCATTTATATTTGTAAGAATTCACCCATTTGTTGGGATACTAGGTTTGAATCCACAGACTATTCTTTTATAAGCTTTCTTTTAGCACAATTTTACTCTATTGCTTTTCTCTTTGTTCTATATTGCTCTCCATCATCTCAGAACTGTTTTCTTTTTGATATTATTTCTAATCAAATTGACCCAGCCCTCTCTTTATCCATCAGCCAATATCATTGTTGTTGGTGACTTTAATGATCATCACACAAAATGGATTTGCTCTAGTGTCAGTGACTCTGCAGGCGTTAAAACCCACAATCTTTGCCTTTCTCAATCTCTAACTCAAATAGTCAACTTTCCAATTCGCTTTCTAGACCACCCGAATTGTTTATCTTGTCTACTCAACCTATGTCTTGTTTCTGATCCTAGTCAGTGCTCAGTTTATCCACATTCACCCTTAGGTGCTTCTGATCATGGATTGATCTCTCTAAAACTACTGTCTCATTCTTCTTCATCATTTAAATCCCCCTATCATTGTACCTCTTACAACTACCTTGAAGCTGACTAGGACTCTTTGCGTGATTTTCTTTGTGATGGCCCTTGGGTAGAAATCTTTTGTCTTCTTGTTGGCAAATGTGCTTCTTTTATAACTTTGTAGGTTCAGGCTGGCATAGAATCTTTTATTTCCTCCCGATGATTCCAGGTCAAGCCTCACTCTTCTTCCTGGTTTTCCTCTCATTGTGCTGCTGCAATTTCCAATCGAAACTGCTACTTCCATATCTATCAGCAAAACAATTCTCCAGACATCTAGTTACTTTTCCTGGAAACCATTGTAAAAAGATTTTGTCTAACGCCAAAGCCCGCTATTCTCAGGTCATGAACTCTCATTTTTTTATCACAAAAATTAGGCTCAAGTGACTTCTGGAGAATCTTTAACAGTGCCAAAAATAAGGGCAAATCTGTTATTCCTTCTCTCTTGTATGGTTCAGACTTCGTCATTTCACCTAAAGACAAAACTGAATTGTTTGCTAAGAACTTTCCATCAATATCATCTCTTGATTCCACTAGTTGCGTGCTACCTGATATAGCCATCAAACAGTATGATCCATTGCTTAACATTCGTATCACTCCAGCTTCTGTATCTAAAGTGATTTTCTGCTTAGACTCTTCTACTTCTAGTCCAGACAACAACCTGTTGTAGTCTTTCAAAACTATTTAACTATTTTAGTGCTTATCAGAGTTTTATTTCCTAGCATGCTGGAAAACGGCATCTGTTATCCCTATTTTTAAAATTCTGGAGAGCGATCTGACTTATCTAACTACCGTCTCATTAGTCTTCTTTCTATCATAAGCAAGATTTTTAAACCTTTCGTTAATTAACACTTAATATCTTATCTTGAATCTAATAACTTACTTTCTTATCATTAATATGGACTTTAATCTTCTTGTTTTACAGCTGATTTGGTAACAGTAGTAACCAATAACCGTTAGGTTTTATTGTGCATTAGATAGAGGTGGAGTGGTTAATGTTATCACTCTTGACATTTCTAAAGCTTTTGATAAAGTTTGGCATACTGGTCTTCTTTTCCAATCGTAGTATCAAAGTTATCCTTAATGGACAGCTTTGATACTACCCTGAAGTTACAGAATATCTTCATATCCTGTAATTTCAGGGTTTCCTCAAGGTTCAATCCTTGGTCCTATACTCTTTTTAATTTACATTAACAATATTCCAAATATTCTCACATCTAAAGTGGCATGGTTCGCTGATGATACAACCATTTATTCTTGTCATGATAAGAAGCCAACACTCTCTGATTGCTTGAAGGGGGCATTTGATCTTGAAAAGGATCTTATTTTTGCTACAGTATGGGGCTCACAGTGGCTGCTGAACTTTAATTCAGATAAGAATTTTTTTTAGCCAATTGTTATCACAATAGTCTAGATCTTTTTATATTTATAAACGGTAATGTACTCAATGAGTCATCTACCCTTCATCTTCTAGGATTAACTCCTATTTTCGATCTTTCTTGGAAATCATATACCAAAAATATTGTAAAATTTAGCATTTGCTAAGGTTGCATCTCTTAATCGTGCACGACACTTTCTTATTCGTCTAGTTTTTTTTTCTCGAATATCAACTCTTTGGAATTCGCTACCTTCTTTCCTGATTCATATAATTTGCAATCTTTTAAGTTATCTGTCAATCATTATCTTGCTCTACAAACCTCATCTTTTCTTTTCCAGTAACTTCTAACTCTTATAGTGGTTGCTTGCAGCCTTGTTGTAAGCAAAGATGTTAGGAAAAAAAAAAAATTGAGATCCTTTTTAAGCTCAAATGCCCCCTCCAAGCAATCAGATAGTGTTGGCTTCTTAACAAAACAAGAATAAATGATAGTATTAATCATAATGTCACCTAATTATTGTCATTTTAGATGTGAGACATTCTGTAAGATTGTTAATGTAAACTAAAAAGAGTATAGGTCCCAGGGTAGAACCTTGAGGAACCCTGAATTTACAGGATTTGAAAAAGAGTGCTGTCCAGCTAGGGTAGCATTTATACTACGATTGCTAAAGAAGGATTCAATAGTCTTAAAGATTTTACCTGATACACACAATAAGAAAAATGCTTATGGAGAATATCAGCATGCCAAACTTTATCAAAAGCTTTGAAAATATTGAGAGCAATAGCCTTAACCTCTCTACAATTACCTAATGCACAATAAAACCTATTGGTTATTACTGTTTGTAAATCAGCTGTAGAATGAGAAGATCGAAATTCATATTGATGATTAATAAGTAAATTAATAGATTCAAGGTGAGAGATTAATTGTATGTGAGTTAAAGACTCAAAAACCTTGTTTATGATAGGAAGAAGACTAATGGGACAGAAGTTAGACGAGTCAGATTGCTCTCCAGAGTTATTGAAAATAAGGATAACAGATGTGTTTTGATGATGCCGGGATATCCCCATAGGGATAACAGATGCCGGTTTCCAGCAGGCTGGAAAACAAGACTCTGATAAGCACAAATATTTTTGAAAGAATAGACGACAGCTCTAAAGAATACTTTTGCAAGATTATAACAAGTATGTTGTTTGGACCACAAGCTGAAGAAAAGTTGAAGCAGGAAATCACTTTAGATACAGAAGCTGGAGTAATGCAAATGTCAAGCAATGGATAAACCTGTTTTTTGGCTATATCAGCTAGAACACAACTAGTGGAATCAAGGGATGATGTTGATGAAAAGTTCTTAGCAAACAATTCAATTTTGTCTTTAGTGAGGTGCCAAAATCTACAATTGTTTCTAGCAATAGTAAACAAATCTTGCTGATAGATATGGAAGTGTTGGTGATTGAAAATTGCAGCAGCACAATGCAAGGAATACCATCGAGAAAAGTGAGTCTTAACTTGGAGTCGTTGAGAGATAACAAAAGATTCTATGCCAGCCTGAATTCAAAAAGTTATGTATAAAGCACATTTTTTCAGCAGGAAGATGAAAGATTTCTACCCAAGGACCATCACACAAAAAGTCACGGTAAGAGTCCTTGTCAACCTTAAGGTAGTTGTAAAAGGTACAATGATAGGGAGATTCTGATGATGAAGAAGAATGAGATAATAGTTTTAGAGAGATCAAACAGTGATCAGAAGCACCTAAAGGTGAATGTGGAGAAACTGAGCCCTAGCTAAGATCAGTAACAAAACATAAGTTGAGTAGAAAAAGTAAATGATTCAGATTGTCTGGAAAGCAAGTTAAAAAGTTAACTATTTGTGTTAGAGATTGAAAAAGTTTTGACTGTTTTGTGTTAGAGATTGAAAAGGTTTTGACTGTTAGTGCGGCCGTGGTGCATTGGTTAGAGTGCTTGCTTTATAAGTAGAAGATCTAGGTTCGAAACGAGCTTTGGACATATTTCACGTCACAGTAAGGAAGGAGGTGTGAACTTCCTGGTTAAATGCACTTCCGCTGTGCTCTGTGACAAGATCATTAGGACTTCTTGGGGCACCTAAATAACAAATAAATAAAAAAGGCAAAAATTGCGTGGCTGGTCAACAGATAGAATTTGTTTACCCCTTAAGTGTTTGTCTAGGAGTCTTTCTACAAGACAGTAGTCAGATGCATTTAACGTCATTCCAAGATGAGTATTTTTGTCAAAACCTCTAGGTTTTACTAAATTAAGAGCCCCAAGGCAGGGGATGTTTAGATCATTGTTATCCTTTGCCTAAAAGACAGAAAGACATTAGGCAGGTTGTAAGATTTTTCATATTACATGTTACCAGTATCAGTATAACCTGATCTGAAGATAGGTTAAAAATAAAATAATACGACGACCTGACAATGGGTTAAAAATAAAATAATATGATTGTTATTTTTAATTTTGTTAGTGCAATCAAATTTATTTTGTATTACTTACTCTATCTACTTGAAGTTATAAAAGTAACAAAATTGCAATGATTATGGGTGAAATATACATACAACGACTTACAGGTGAGCCAACACAATGCCTGAGGTCCAAACAGAATGAAAATATACATAAAATGACTTTCATAAGAATTGTTGAGACTTTCTGAAGTTCAGGAGGTCTGTAGCTGAGCTGACACTTTTTGGAGTTATAAAACTCTGTGATTTTTACATATTACTTAGTATGCATGTTTTACAAAGTCAAACTTTGGATTTTGAGTTTTGACACAGCTTTATTTACTATTTTGATATACCTGAGTTTTGTTTAAAACTTTACAGCACTTTTTTTACAATTAACTTGGTTTGCTGCTGTTTTTGTTATTGAAGTCACTATTGTTTCTTTATTTATTTACTGCTCATTATCAAAGTTAAGCTACCATAACATTGCTTATCTTATTTTTTATTTGGTTTGCTTTTAAGTATACTCACAAGCAAACACGCAAAAAATAACATAAGCAATTTTGTTATGTTAACTTAACTGAATTACTAGTAATTTAGAATCTTGACAAGTCTATATTTTTTTGTTGCTTTTTTTGTTTTGTTGCTTTTTGTACCAACAACAGCTAGTTATAAAATTATGTTGAGGGAAGATAAACAAATCTTCTTTTATGTTATAGAGAGAAGATAAACAAATCTTCTTTTATGTTATAGAGGGAAGATAAACAAATCTTCTTTTATGTTATAGAGGGAAGATAAACAAATCTTCTTTTATGTTATAGAGGGAAGATAAACAAATCTTCTTTTATGTTATAGAGGGAAGATAAACAAATCTTCTTTTATGTTATAGAGGGAAGATAAACAAATCTTCTTTTATGTTATAGAGGGAAGATAAACAAATCTTCTTTTTAATGTCTAAAATTAAAAAAAAAGAATAGCAACTGACAAAAGGTAGACTAATTCTATAAATTTCAAAGTTTAATAAAAGTATTGTGGGAGGAGGGGGGCAGGATCTGAAAGCGGGGTTTCAGCTTTTCATAAAAAAAAAAGAAAACTGGTTTTCTATTTTTTTTAGTTAACTTTTTATTAAATCTTTTTTAGTGGGATTTCCTCCATTAAATCTAACATCACTTGGGTCTAAATACAAAATACTCACTAAAAAGACAATTGGTAAGTTCATTATAGTTATCATTACAAATAATGATACAATTATGATGGCGGTGATGAGTTGATGATATTGATAATGATGATGATGATGATGATGATGATGATGATCATGATGATGATGATGATGATGATGATGATGATGATGATGATGATGATGATGATGATGATGATCAGGGTCAGACTGATCTGGGAGGTTGGAGGTTCCCCCCAGGGCCCCTGCTATGCTTAAAAAACCTGGGCCCCTCTATAAATCAAGATGCACAAATAAAACACATAAAAATACAAATTAATAATAACTATTCATTGTTTATATACATTAATTTTACAAAGACAATACAATATATGGTAGTTATTAAAAACAAAATATGGTAGTTATTAAAAAAAAAAAACTGAACCTTTTATTATTAAATATTAGTGGTAAAGAAAATCATCTTGAGTAAGAGACTAAAAAATTAATTTATTACAAAAAAAACGTTAAATTTTTTGCTTTGATTGATTCATGCATATATATTTTATATAAATCCAGGGCTTATATAAAATATATATGCAATATATAACACAATATATACACGCAAAATATATACTGATGATGGATTCAACATGTTGCAATATTCAGTCTAAGAACATTTTTGGGTAACTGAAAGCAACAGGTATTTTCATAAAAAGTTTAAGTAAAATAATGAATATGTGGAAGAAACTGGCAGGTTTTGTAAAAGATAAAGTCAAGAAGTTTCAGATGATTGGTAATATACAATGGACATCAAAGAAAGTTTCTGGGCTCTTGAAGGTGTAATAGGAAGTTATTCTTTGTTGCTAGCAGATCGAGTTTAACACATCTAAAAATGTATTAAAAAGTGATAATACAATTTGTCTTGTTCTTACTGGAAACCTTTCTAATGAAATCATCAAAAAATTCAAACTTTTTTTTGCATATATACAATTTTATGTAACGTTTGGTGTAGGCTTTAATCCTTTAATTGTGTACATATATTAATCTATGCAAAATGTCTAAAATAGTAACAACTGTCAATCAATATAAAAATTTTTTAACTGGCACTTGATAAAATATATTATTAAACATCATTCTATATATATTTATGTATAAAATATATTCTAAACATTTAATCATTGTATGCATTAAAAAGCTTGAAATAACGATCCAAATCAAAGACCAATTATTGACCAAATTTTTGTATCAATAAATGGTCACTAAATATTTTATACATTTTTGAATCAATTTCAACTAAATATTGACCTATATAGACATCTTTACTGGGTACAAGAATTAAAGAAAATATTTGGTTCTTTAGCAGTTAATTTATGTAGCAGTTAATTTATGTAGCAGTTAATTTATGTAGCAGTTAAACTATGTGCAATTTATTTATGTAGCAGTTTATTTATATAGCAGTTAATTTATGTAGCAGTTAATTTATGTAGCAGTTAATTTATGTAGCAGTTAATTTATGTAACAGTTAAATTATGTAGCAGTTTATTTATGTAGCAGTAAGAAATAAAAGTTTGATAAAAATGTTTTCATCAATTTCAAAGTGAAGTCAACAAGTTTCTTAGTTTATTTATTTTGAATGGGAATCAGTACAAATATTTATGTTGAATATATAAATTGGTGCTTTTTTATTACGTGGTAAAAGTAACCTTGAGAGTACGATTTGATTTGACTCTATATGTATGTCTTTTTGTTTTATGCTTTTATAGTAAATTACTATAAGTTTAACTGCTATCATTTCTTTCTTTAATTATATTTATTTATTATTACAGTTAAGTCCTATTATTACTTGCTTCAATGATTCAGCAATAAAATATCATCTGCAGTGAAAACAATCTAAAGAACATCTATGGTGAAGTGAAAAATTCTTTAGGAAAAAGATTAAAAAAAATTTATTTTGACTCTTTAAATCTCATAAATTATTTTTAAAAGACAAAAGTATTTGATATTTTAAAATAATATTTAAAGTAAAAAACCATTTTGTAAAAAGAAACTCTTTCGATGATAAATGGTTGACAAAAAAATCTGTTTTTTAAAAGTTTTATGTGAAGCACCTTTAATAATTAACTGTTTTCTGACATGAAACCAAACTTTTTTTTTTAATAAACACAATACTTTTTTTCTAATTGAAAACACCTATGAAACCATTGCATTTTAAAACTATTGAATGGTTAAACCACTTTAAGCCATTATACAAACCACATTTTTTTAAAACTAGTTATATGAAAAACATTCTAGTAGATTCAACCATTCTAATGCTAGTATAAATATGGTGTTGCTAAAATGTTTATAATTAATGATTTAATTTTAAAAAATAATCTTAAGCAACATTATATTTTTACTTAAAATCTGCCTTTTAATTCAAACTCTGTTTTATTGCATAGAAACCTCTTGATGTCTACTTTGTTTGTTTTTTAATAAAAATGTTCAAACAACATTTATATTTAAATAAAAATAATTAGAAGAAAACATATTTTAAAGCAAGTAAAAGTAAATATAAACAACATATTGAAATATAAACAACTTAAATGGAAATAATTAGAAAACAGAAACAGAAATAGAAATAAAGAAAATAAAAAAGTAAAAGAAACAGCAAATTGAAGCATTCGTTTATAAATAAATAAAAAAAAAACTGTAAATAAATAGTTACATTATTATAAGGTTTAACTTTTTTTTTTTTAGTTCAGCTTTAAAAACTCTCTTTTTCTTTCTTTTTTTTTTTTAGATCAGCTTTATACCTCTACGCTAACGCCACAAATCTTACATGCTAATGAAAATGTAATAACTGATGATTTTGACTTTCGAACACTTTTTTGTCATTCAATGGCAAATGTAAGTGACATGAAATTCACTACTCAAGAAGAATTAAGTTTCAGAAATTTTCATCAAAAATGGAAAAATGTACATTCCTACCAGTTGTCCTGTGGTATTTTAGTAGTATTCTCACCTGTTAAGTTATGTCAGCATGGTTTTTTTTTCAAGTGTTTTGTGAAATATGATAAAACCTATTTATATGTAAAAACTGCCACAATTATATATGCTAATAGACCATGTAAGTTTATCTTTTTTATCTTTTTTGTTTAATAAACTTTTAAAAAAAAATTATTATGTTAGTTAAATAAACGGAAATTTATTTCATTATAAAAAAGTATTAAAAAAAAAGTATAAAAATTTATATATATGTATAAGTGTGTTTGTTTTTACAAGTGAATCTCTTAGCACTCTATTATTCTAAAAAAAAAACAAGAGTAAAAATAGGTTGCAAGTTTGTATTAACTTTAATTACACTCAAAGATATTAAAAAAAAATTTAAATCAATAATTTATTATAAAACTAATTTTAAAAATATTAACATTGTTTATAAAAAAAAATTTCTTTCAGTGTCCTTCAAAAATATTTATTTTTTAAACAACATTTTTTTTACTTTTTTATGTTTATTTCTACTTATTAACTGTTATCATTTTTCTATTAATGATAAAAAAGAAAATGAAAAGAAAAATATAATTTCTAGTTTTATAAATATATTATTGTGTAAAATAATCACATTGTGTTTCTGTTATGTAAAATATCAACGCTGAACAATAAATACTTAAGTAAAAGATTTTTTTAATAAAATTATAACTTTTTTTAAATAAAATATATCTTCATTTGTTAGTTGTACACCCTCAGTATTAGTAACTTTACAATGGTGTACTTCTAGTGGTAACATCCACATGGGGCTAACATCTACATAGAGGTTTACTATCTATTCAGTGGTAATAGATATTGAAATATAAAACTCTTTAAGTTTAGATAATATTTAGATACTTAAAATAATAAATGAATTGTTTTAACTAAAAAAACAATATATTGATTTAGTTTAAAAAGCAGTATATTTTTAGTTACAAAAATAAATTAAATGCAAATGGTATTAAATTTAATTGCATAATCAAGTTTAGTTGCAATATAAGGTTGCAAAAAATTTTTTTGACAAATTTTATTTTCAAAAATTTAAATTAGGGTATAGTTAATTAAATTAGGTTTAGATTAATTAAAGATCTAAAGCTACATCACTACCATCATAAATGTTTTGAGGTGGACCTCTACCCATCCACCCATCATTCATAAACGTTTTAAAGTAGACCACTACCCACCCACTAACAAAAACAATAGTATTGTAAAATATTTGCATTTTCTTTTTCAGATCTTTCAATATCAAGTTCAAATGATGATGGCAAAACTTTAAAAGTAACTTGCAAATATGCAAATTTAATAAATCCTTTATTCCTTAATATAACATTTTCACATAATGATCAATTGATAAATGGTAATAAAGATTTCCTAATAAATCCAACCGAATTTTTTGAAAACATTAGTGCACGTCGATTTGATTTGAAAAGAACATTATCTATTTTGAATCCACAATTTTTTAATGACAATTTTAGTTGTGTCTTGTCTGATGATAAATGTGGGATAGTAGCAAGTCAGAGTCTCTCCCTTTTCCAAGGTTGGTTACTTTTTCTCTTTTTTTTATTATACAGTATTGTTCAAAATAAAAAAAAATTTTGAATTAGTTTTGCTTTTTATTTTTTTGTATTTTTTTTTCAACACTTTACCCAGCTTATACAAAACGTTCATGTAGGTATGGTTGACAAAGGTTGCAAGCGTTCGAGCATGTTCTTGAACATTTGCAACCTTTGTTGAACGTTTTGTGTTAGCTGGCTAGTTGTGTTTAGTTGTTTCTTTTTTAAAGACATTTTTCATTCATTTTAACATAAATTATTTAGTAGAGGTGATTGAGGTTTTTTTGAAACAAGTTTGTTTTCAAAAATATTAGTAGTTTTAGTGAAATTAATTATAACATAATTTAGATAAAAAGGCTGGTTCAACACCTACTTTTTTATCAGATGGTTTATGGGTAGTTTTAATTGGATTTTTGCTCTTGTTGTTTTTTTTCCTTAAAATAAAGTCAAAATGGTGTAAAAGCTTGAAAAAAAGTGGGAAAATCCAGGAGGATTTAACTGTAGTTGTTAATGACCATAGAAATGGTATGTAGCCAATTGCTAAAAGTTTTTATCCTTAATAATGGTTTTATTATAAAGTTTGATTATAAATTATTTATATATTTGATTTTATTAATTTTGAATATTGATAATAATATTAGTTTTATTAAATATAAAATTCTGTATAATAAAAGGGTTTGATGTCACATGATCGGTAACATTATATTTGATTGAACTCGAATCATTAATGCAACATATTTTATAAAAAAAAAATATTAATCTTATTATAAAATGTAAAATTTAAAACATTAAAGTAAAATTTAAGTAACATTTAGAAAATGAACTGCATTTTATGTCTTCAATAACGAATGTTGAGCAAAGCATGACATGTTTCAAGCAGAACATAACAAATCCAGATCAGAGAACTAATGATGTCTTTATATCATACAGTTCTCAGAATCGTGAGTGGGTAAATAATACTCTTCTATTTGAACTGGAAAAACGAAATATTAGTGTTTGCATAGATTATAGAGATTTTGTTTTAGGGGAATACATATCAAAAAATATTTTAGATGGTATGCATAACAGTCGAAAAACTATTGTTGTTATTTCTTCGGATTATTTAAAGAGCAATTATTGCAAAGAAGAACTTCAAACAGCTTCACAAGGTCATTCTGTTATTTTCATAATGATAGAAAAGTGCAAACTACCTCGTTATTTAAAGCAACAACTCTCAAAAAATCAAGTTTTTGAATGGGAAGATAATGAGAGGTTCTGGAAAAACCTTGTTCTTGCTATTCACTCATAACAAATATCTGTAAATATATATATACAAATGTCTATATATACATATATATATATATATATATATATATATATATATATATATATATATATATATTCAACACGTTTATATGTTTATACTTATGCAGTGCTTTAAATGAAGAAAAAAAAGTAGCGAGATGGTATTTGGTAAATTAGAAATACTATCGTGCCTAATCATTGTTATATATAGAGACTTATTTAGTAGTGGCGGGATGGTTTATACTTTTAAACAGGTGACGGGATAGCATCCTGCCTCACTTTGAGCACTGTACTTATGTCAAATGAGGTGCAATGATTGAAGCCTGGGAACAAAAAAGCCCTAAACATAAGAGCAACAAATTAATAAAGTATTTTTGTTACCATTTTCAAATAAATTTATATTCATCAATAAACTCTAAATTTCATACAAAAATCTCTTATCATTCAAAAATTAGGATCTAATAAAATTTGTTACCCCTCAAATCGAGGGGAGTTCAAACTTGATATAACCATAATTTTTAAATGCTTAAAGATTATTAAAGGATTATTTTGAATTTATCGATGAATACAAATTTATTTAAAATTAGTAGAAATTTTTTTTTATCTGTTTGTTATTCTCATGTTTAGGGCAGTTATGGCCAAAATTTTAGGGTTCCAATCATTGCAATTTTTTGCAAAGTGTCCTTATTTGACGTAAGTATATATATATATATATATATATATATATATATATATATATATATATATATATATATATATATATATATATATATATATATATATATATATATATATATATATATATATACATATACACAGTGACGTAGGAAGGTTTTTAAATTATTGAAATAACCAACTTTTAAACAAAAAGAATATTCCAAACTTTTTTACATTCATATGTATGACGAAAAGATTCTTCACAACAAAAAAAAATTACTCTGGAATATGGGAACAAGAAACCCTAAAATCTTAGCTCCCCCTGCCCCAAACGTGAGAGCAACAAGTTGTTGAAATTTTTTTGTACTATTTTCAACTAGAGTTAAATTCATCAATAAATTTTAAATTTTATAATAAAATATTTTAGAGTTCAAAAAATATGACCATATAAAATTTACAACTCCCTCAAATTGAGGGGGATTTAAACTTTATATGGTCATAATTTTTGAATACTAAAATATTTTATTATGAAATTAAAATCTCTCGATGAATATAAGTCTAGTTGAAAATAATACAAAAAATATTTCATCAACTTGTTGCTCTCACGTTTAGGGCAGAGGGGGGCTAAGATTTTAGGGTTTCTTTTTCCCATTCTCCATCCAGAGTAATTTTTTTTGTGAAGAATCTTTTCGTCATACATATGAACGTAAAAAACTTTGGAATATTTTTTTTGTTTTAAAAGTTGGTTGTTTAAAACATTTAAAAACCTTCCTATGCCACTGCATATATATATATATATATATATATATATATATATATATATATATATATATATATATATATATATATATATATATATATATATATATATATATATATATATATATATATATATATATATATATATATATATATATATATATATATATATATATATATATATATATATATATATATATATATATATATATATATATATATATATATAACTGTGTGTGTATCTAGTAATTACCTAAGTTTTTTTAACAAAAAGTCAATTTTAAAGCGGTTTTATAAAAAGGTTTTGTATTTTGTAAATTTTAGTCATTTTTGTATTATAGATTTTGTATAAGGTTGTGAACCTAAATTCATATGAACTTAATTTTTAATATATCAGAAAATATGTTGAGATTTTATAATTTTAGAAACTATATAGATATTTTAAAATATTAGAAAATATATATTGCGTTTGATTTGAAATTTTATATTGTTTTTTGATGGATTTAAAAAAAGTTAGTTAATTTAAATTACACGGAGCGGGCGTGTTCCGTAAGCCCATCAATAGCTAGCCGTGCTAGCTCTTGCGAAATTGCACGGAAGATGATGCGCTGTAGTAATTATTAAAGCTGATCGAATTTTGCTTTGAAGCGATCGACACTGGTAGCACTGACTACTACGTTAGGAAATGCGTTCCATGGGTGAGCGACGCGGTTGTTGAAGGAATTATAGCGAACGAGGCAGTTGTTGTCCACGATGAAAACGCTTGCGATGACCGTAGCTAGGTGGGATGTTAGGTGGATCTATATGCCAGCTAATTGAGTCGATACTGTTTTCGAATTTATATTTTTGAATGAGGTCGCCGCGTAAACGTCTATTTAATAGAGAGGTGAGACCGAGTTTGATGCATCTTGTCTCGTAATCCAAGCGCTTTATTTCGTGCGGTACTTTGGTAACCCGATGCTGAACACGTTCTATGACATTTATGTCTTTTTCAAGATGCGGGCACCAGGCAGTAACTGCAAACTCGAGATGTGGGCGTATATAAGTGGTGTAAAGTTTTTTCCATATTTTGGTATCTCTGCTTATAAACGTGTTTTTTAATGTCCCGAGGACTTTTTTAGCCTTGGCAGCGGCTATTTGTGCTTGCCTCTCGTATTTTAAGTCGTTGGAAATTTGAACGCCTAGATCTTTTTCGGATGTTGAAGACTCGATTACTTTTCTAGTGACGCTACCGTTAGCGACGTACTCGTTCATTAAATAAATGTGTGGGGAAACATTGTACTTACTGAAATGCATGACTTTGCATTTCTTGATGTTGAGTTCCATTAGCCAGGTTCGAGTCCAGTTAACAACGCTATCTATATCGGATTGCAGACGAGCTTTGTCTTCAGTGGTTTTGACGACACTCAGGATTTTAGTATCGTCTGCATACATTTTACATAAGTTTTCGCTATTGATGTGTTCGGGTAAGTCATTAATAAATATTATGAACAGCGTAGGACCTAGCACTGAACCTTGCGGAACGCCACTGATAACCTTTACCCAGGTGGATGACGTATTACCTAATATGACACGCTGTGATCTATTTGAAAGGAAAGCTTTTATCCAGTTAAGAACGTTACCTTCGATTCCGTAGGATTCAAGTTTTTGAAGTAATCTTCTGTGAGGGACTTTATCGAAGGCTTTGGCGAAGTCAAGAAAAAGAACATCTACAGGAAGCTTGCGAGAAACGTTGTAGGTCAGAAAGTCCATGGCCTCAAGCAGATTCGTGACGCAGGTTTTTTTATTGACGAAGCCGTGCTGGCGATCGGTAATAAGTTTATGAGCTACAAGGTGCTGCATGATCTTTTCTTTAACAATTTTTTCCATTATTTTGCATGGTACTGAGGTGATGGAGATAGGCCTATAGTTTTCTGGGTCGAGTCTGGAGCCTTTTTTGAACGGTGGCGTCACGTTTGCCGAGAACCACGCTTTTGGGACTACACCTTGATCCATCGATTTCTGAAAAATGATGGCAAGCGGGGTAGCCGCCGCATCAGCGCATGGTTTAAGCACAAATGGACTGATACCGTCACCTCCAGTTGATTTATTGGCGTTGAGAGCAGATAGGTGTTTGTGAACGGAATCATAGCTGAAGATGACGGAGGAGATTAAGGCGGTTGTACGTTTAACAAAGGGAGGTAGTTGTTGATCTGATGGTTCGATTGTGAATACTGACTGGAACTGGCTGTTAAGTATATTGGCTATGGATGGGTGGTCGCTACTTATTTCCCCAGCGGGTGAGCACATAGAAGTTATCTGATTACTGACGGCGCGTTTGTTGTTTACATAAGCGTATAGACGCTTAGGGTTCCATTTGTCGCCAGCTAATTTGTGTTCAAATGCTCTAATTACAGTGCAGGAAGTTTTTTTGACAAGGTTTCGAGTTTGGTTATACTCTTTGACAAGAGGAATGATTCGCCATTTGCTGTTGCGGTTGAGGTACCAAAGTTTTTTCTTACGTTTAATTAGTAAAAAAAGTTCGCTGGTTAACCAAGGCTGCCTGTCTTTGGCCGGTTTAGAGGTGACACGCGGAATAAATTTGTCACATAATTTGATATAGTTGTCGCAGAATATTTGATAACATTCGTCGGCATATCGGTCTTTAAATAAACTAACCCAATCAACTTGGGAGAGTTTCTCGTTTAGATTCGCATAATTACCTCTCCTGTATATAAATTTGAGAAGTTAAAACGGGGAGAGTTGCAGACGTTTTTGGCTAGCTGGTGTTGCCATGTCATAGTGCAGTGACCTTGCGAGGCGCTACCAAGAGGAGGACCGATAGTAATATGGGTTAATCGCTCGGTTGTTTCGGTAATTACAAGGTCTAGTGTATTTTTGAACAGACCGTTGGCTTGGATGAAGGTGGGATTGATAACGTGCTGGTGTAGATGTAGGTCAAAAATGGTTTCGGCAAATTTAGTGCCAAAACTTGTTTCAGCGCCGGTGGTATTGGTCCAGTCGTCGTGCCATATGACGTCGGGAAAGTTGAAGTCACCGGTGATTATTAGACCATTAAACTTTTTGTTTTCTACGGCCGATTTCGCGTAGAAGATAGCTTTTACTATTTCGTTAAAGGCCAGAACATTATTGGTAGGTGGGCGATAGATGCAGCCGATTAGGAGAGATTCTTGTGGGAGTTTAAGTTCGAGCCAGATCTGTTCTGAGTAATTGCATTGGAAACCGATGTGAAGTTGAGAATAGTCAATTTCGTTGGCAATAATGCTGTTCTTGACATACATGGCTACTCCTCCTCCACGACTAGGGCGATCTTTTCTAAAGAGATTGTAGTTGGGAATAGCTGGTGCTGAGGATTCGTTAAACCATGTTTCAGTGATAAAAATGGTGTCATAATCATAGAGGGACGTTGGTAATTCAAGTTCGGTGAGTTTATTAGGATTTAGAGATGTGGCGTTTGCATAGAAGCAGTTTAGTAACAATTTAGAAGCATTGCTTTGTGAAGTGGGAGAAGACAAATTTTTAATTATATGAAAACGGTCATGAGTTGAATGTTGCGACTTCTCATTGGTTGGTTTGGGCCGCCGCGAGCGCTCCTTTCCAGTTGATGAATGGGTGTTTTTCCAAGCCATTGATGTTGACTTTTTTGCTAACGTCGATGCATTTGACTCTGTCGCTGCGGATGACAAAACGAAAGGGCTGATCAAGTTTACCGTTTGCTTTAAGGCCATTGTTGAGCTTAAACTTTTCGTTGTTCAACTTGTTAAAAAGATCTTGCGCTGAAGGAGTTC